TATAAAGGGGATTCAACTTTAGAAGGAGGTTGGCAGATGATCCTTCATTCAGACTCCCAGCTTGAGGTTGACCAGATTGAAGAAGAGTATGAAGCAAATGAGGACTGTATGTGGAGATATGTAGCTGAGACCTGTGAAATGTTAAAGGGGATTGCAACCTAGGAGTCGATGCAGATACCACGATGGGAAAATGACAGAGTCGACCTCCTTTATAAAATGCTACGTCTTAAATTGATTGCCAATCTAGATTAGTGACACTGTTGGACATGGCCACAAGTACTTTAGACCAAGTGTTGAAGGTGGAATAACAAGGAGATTGGAGGTCACCTCAAATCAAATGGTTGCAGAACGTAGTTATAGGGATAGATATTAGGGGTGACCCCATGGGTAAAAGAGCTTTAAGGTTTTTTCTGCATGATGGGATACTGTACAAACGATTGTATGTCGAGCCCACCTGTAATGTGTTTCTGACCCAGATGAAGAGAACATGCTGAACGAAGTTCACGAGGGTTATTGCGGGGACCATGTGAAAGCTATGGCCTTGGTCGGAAAGGTCATTCGGCCGGGTAATTTTGGCCTAAAATAAGGGCGATGGCGCAGAAACTTATTAAAAAATGCATGAAGTGTCAGTGGCATAGTCCGCTAATTCACCGGCCTACGGGGAATATGACCCAAATGAGGTCTCCATTTCCCTTTGCACAATGGGGAATTGATATAGTAGGCCCCCTGCCCCAAGCGACAGGTCAACAAAAGTTTTTGTTAGTTGTGGTGGACTGTTTCACTATGTGGATTGAGACATAACTACTGGCAAGGATTACAAAGGAAAATGTTGTAAAATTCCTCTTTGGAAAAATCTGTTGTCGATATGACATTCAGCGGGTGCTCGTATCAAATAACGGGGCTCAGTTTAAGGGTCGGCGCATAATAACATGGTGCAAAGATATGGTCATAAAGAAGCAGTTTGCGTCGGTGGCCCACCCACAGGCGAATGGGCAAGCTGAGGTCGCCATTAGATTGGTCCTTAGCAGGTTAAAGGGTAGGCTGGAAAGAGCCTCAGGAACATGGGTAGATGAGCTCGAATCAGTTCTATGGTCGTACGGAACAACGCGAAGGAAAATGAAACACATGTCTTGCAATCTTTGAAACCTATCATCATCAGCATATCTAAATCTTTTACAAGAATGTTAAAGGCGCAGATGGATGCCTCAAATCGGCCTCATGCTCAAAGGAACCGTTCGTACGAATGTTGTGTCCATCGATGGTGAACGACAGAAATTTAATCAATATAATTGAATTAGCCATAGCCGCATGAAATCCTGATAAAGAATACTTGTGGAATGAAAACAATCCCTAAGTAGAAAATATGGTAAACACAATTTCCGCAGAAGAAATTGTCCTTAGGAACAGTGAAACCCTAGCCGTTGCCTCCAAATTGTCAATTTGCATCCAATTCGTTTTCATACCAATAAATTTTGAGTTTTTTTTTTTTTTTTTTTTTTTTGGCTATAAATGAATTAAGATAGTCTCTTATACTCGTATTATATTCTGAAAAACTGATTATAATAAAATCATATAGATTCAATATACAAAAATATCTAAAAACTAAAACGAGATAATATCCATCCATGACATGCTTGAAAAAAATAAACAAAACCAAACCACACATTTCCCGTAGATACAAAAATCCAATAATTGCGAGTCTAATATTTACTGTCGAAGCACACAATGAAGGTAGCTTGTCCCAATGGATCATTGTTGAGTTCTAAATGTGTACATATATGGTTTAGTGAAAACTCCTAAGCATGCTTTTAAAAGCAATAAATACATGTTGGAGTATACAACAATGTGACACACAACTAAAACGTACTCTTATGAATGTTGTCATGAAGAACTGGGATTTTCATTGCTTAACTGATTCTTAGCCTTAAGTACGATACTTAAATATGTTATATTCTTGTCATTTAGTGAGCTATTTTCTTAATTAATAATGTTTCATATATTGGGAAACGACATTATTTGCATGATATCTATTTATTGATATCATAAATACTCGATTTATTGTTTGTGATCATCGACGAAACTGACAACAGTTGCCAGATATCTTTCACGTTAGCTCGACATTTATAAAATTAATTTATGTATATAAGACCAAATAGACCTTCTATCTAAGCTAATAAATTCTTAACAATTGCTAATTAAGGAATTAATGAAATACTTAAAAATTCCTATAATTTTGAGGATAATCGAGAATACAAAAGAAGATAGGAATTGGGTAAAAATTGAAGTGGGAAAATATTGTATTTCTAGGAAAAAAATAAAAAAGTAATAAAAAAATTGTCTTGACACATCGGTTCTGGGTTCGGCAAGCCGACTTTGTGGGGTTGGATGAATACAATCTATCGATATGATAATGGATAGTAGATCGAATGATAAAACTAGAAAAAAAATTACTGTTACCTGCTTGACATCTTATGTTTGACTCGGCTCGTCTTAAGACCATCATTTTAAATCAAATCCAGTGGGTAAGGATGGGTTTCTGATTTCGAGTCAGGCCTTGATACACTTGTTAAAAAGGAACCCATATGTCATTATTTGTATTCGACCATGTAATACACGACAAAAGTTGTGTTTTAGGTTGTCAAAATAATGTTTCACGGTTGACCATATAATTTACGCATACAAGCTCTCTCCACCAAGGCAATTTTTTCACTGTAGTAGACCCCAAACCGAAAATCTCGT